GTTCCCGGCTCCTGAGTGTGTTCAGGGCTTTTGGGCTTTCAGTGCTTACAGGTGTTGTGGTCCGTCGGCCAAGGAGGTTGAAGCGGGACTAGCTTCCCCTGCAGGCTGCGTGTAGGAGAAGACGCACAAGCTCGACGTGGCGACCTCGAGGTTTAGCAGGTACGGGTCTATTGCCTCTCCTATGGCTTCATTAGCGGTCTGATCAGAACATCTCCCTAAGCCACAGAGCGAGGGCATCCTCCACAAGCACTTCAGTATGACCTCGTTCAAAAGGGGTTGTAGGTTGCTTTGAAACGCACACAGGAAGCCCTTCTGCAACACGATGAAGCCATTAACAACAAACTCAACAACAGCAAACCCTAGTCATGAAACCCTATCACCCCCTGTGAAACCCCTGCAGAAGCCCTACAGATACCCATGAAACTCTTAGGAAAAGCGGTTGGGGAAGGTGTCCTGATCCGGTGGAGCTGCGTTGTCAGGGCTCAAGCAGCTGATTCCATGGTGTCACGAACGCTACACCGTGACACTTCAACATCGGTGCCCCACCTCAATTAGGGTGTATGTTAGTTCTGCTAGTTCCCCACCGAAGCCCTTCCAAGGAGAGTATTTTTTGCTACCTTACACAGTGACGCCCAAACCCGAATCGACCTCTACGGTTTAGACTGAAGCCGTCAGAGCGTGCAGACTCGATTGACCAGGAATCCAGAGGTGAGCCTCTCCCGAAGCGGCTCCCATCCAACCCTCAACCCTCAAACCTAGACCCGAACTCCCCAGAAACCATCTTCACCGCGGCTTTGCATGTCGCCGCCGGCTCTATCCGACAATGCCGTCGAACGGGGCGACGCCACCGCAAGGTGGCAGCGCATTCTTGGCGGTTTCGGGAGTGTAGCGATTGGATTTGTCATTCCTACCTTTCTGCTCCTTTCTTATACAGGTTACTTGCAACTTGCTACTACTGCGACACAGTTGATTCTTGCTTGGTAAACTTCTGCGTGCTTTCGCCAAAGCGGGCAGATCCAGGCGAGGGAGCTGGGCCGAGTCGTCTGCTACATACTTCAGCCGCCAGCCGCTGTCGCCCAAAGATGTCGTGAGCCGGGCAGCAACTTAAACAAATTTTCGGATTTGTTTTTAGGTTTGCGCCTTTCGCTTCCACAGCAACGTATGCCTGATTATGTGCGTTTTTACCCCAAGCCAACGCAACCGCCCAGCGTAGCCTTGAGCCCGTGAGTCCCCAGCCCTACGCCTGCGCCGGCGTCGCCTAAGTCAGGACCGGGTGCGGACGGAGTTTCGCCAGCTCTGCCTGCGGCACTACGGCTCCCTAGTGGGAGCCTGGAAGGCCAGACTGGAGCCATTTTTTGCTGTCCACTATGAGGCTTTCAAAGGAGTCGGGCCCAGATTTACGGCCTCGTGAGACTGCAATGCTTTTTTACGAGGCCATGGACGTGAATAGCGACGGGCGCCTCAGCTACTTCGAGTTCCTCCGCGCCTGCAAGCACATGCAGATGCGAAACGCACGGGCCGTGTGGTCGGCACTGGGCCGATCTGGATTCCTGGCCGATCTTGTTCTTATGGCTTGTTTGTGCTTGTGGAGATCTTGGGAAGTTTCAAGATGTAGAAAGCCGAGAAGACAAGGCATCAGCAGCAAAACGGAACCACAGAAATGTGGCAGCAGCAGTAGGGACACACCGGGCCCCAAACACTACCGCATCTTGCGAGTAAACCCTAAGCAGTCGCATACAACTGGCAAGCATGTTGATGGTTGCTAAGCCCTCAGCCTCAAAACCTTGAAAATAAGGTTTCGTCAGCTTGCAAGAACTGGACCCGTTGCTGGCACAGCAGCTGGGCTCTCTTGCTGCCAAGCTCTGGTCCCCTGGCCTAGTTTTGGGTAAGGCTCGGTAAACCAGCTAGCACGAAGGAGGTTTGGTTCCACGGGTCGTTCTGCAAGTGTTGGCCCTCAGGCATAGGAGGCCTTTAACTGTGTAAGTGCAGAGTTCTCCTTCGTTGTCCATCGGCCACCCAGGACTCTCTTTGGGTCCCTTGAGGAAGCCTGGCGCAATTGCTTCAATCCGACCGCGCGGCTGCGGATCAGCCGAGACGACTTCGTGCAAGCCTGTGAAGGTCTCCGCTTCCGGCACGGCGAGGCTTGCTTCGCCGAGCTCTGCTCGGAGAAGGCCTGCAGCGGCATGAGCCGCAAGGAGCCGAGCCCGATGACAAAACAACCCTAAAACTTCACCCCGGCCCAGCGGCCTTAACACCCGCTCTCCCAGAAGCCTCAAGCAACGGAAGGAGTTCGGCTTCCTTCATACCTGGCTTGGCCGTGGTCCAGACCGCGGCTTCATCGATCCCCCGCCCTCTCGCTGGGAGAAGGAGAGAAGACCCTGGACCCCTCCTGTGCCGAGACTGAAGCTCGGCTGGTGCGGGCAACGTCGCTGAGGGTGCTCACAACTTTTCTTCCAACCAAGAGGGCTTTCTTTCTTGTTGCCATAGAAATCTGAGCAAGTAAGGAAGAAGTTCGAGCGGCGCCAGAAGTTCAAGGATTGCCTTCTCAGGTCCTATGGCAACTCGGCCTGGAATCAGCTGCATTTTTCCCAGCGGTGCTCGGGACGACGACGAGTGAGGAGTGAGTATGATCCTTATTAAAAATATAATATAATGTGCCCCAAAACCCTATTCTAATTATTAAGGCCCCTATACTATGATTATTATCGCAACGATTTCGATAAGCCATCCTGCTTACCTACCACTGTTCTGGGAACGGAAAATCTCTCTTCGGTATGTTTGAGCCTTATTCTTGGAAGGATCTCTGCGGGCTCGAGAGAGAAGTGGGGGGGTGCTTTATTTTCTCTGAAATCCTTTGCAAATTGTAGCCTTTCGAGTTAGTGTTCACAGGTTTACAGTTTTCGAGTCGGTTTAGGGTGCAGAACTGAGCAAAACTTGTCTTGCCTATGCTGACTGGAACTTTTGGCTTGCGGTGCGAATACCCAGGTAACTTTGTTCGGGCATGGCGCGAGGGATTAGACCGGGACCACAACCACAAGCTGGACTATCACGAGCCTTTTTCTCAATGCTCGGTGCAGTTGAGGTTTTTGGCTTGGGTTTGACATTTGGGTTGCGTTTTTTGATTTAACCTGTGCAATGTGGGTTCGACGTGCTTGCATTCAAGCGGCATGTGATGCAGTCCGGACGCTCAGGCCATGTTGATGAGAAGATGATCCGTGTTCATTTCTGTGCATCTCAGGAGTTCAGCACAGCGGTGAAGGCCCTTCCGCTGCAGAAAGCGGGGTTGTGGGATTCGGCTACCGAGATCACCCACACACCCCAAACACCAAATACTCCTTGAATTCTCCAGACATGGGTTTAGGATTCATGTTCAGGAATGACCTGAACATTTCAAAACCCATGTGTCCTGTTCCCCAACCCTTAGCTCTGAAGCCTGAACCTTACAACCCAGCAAAGCACTGATGGTGAAGGTACGTGCAGTGATCGGAGCCGACCCCCCGCAGGCCCTCCGTAACTTCAATCCCGAATCGCCTGGATTGTCCGAGTGTGAGCTCCGAACTGATCCGAAGAGGCAACAGCGGTGTCGGGTCCCCTTAAGCCTTCAATGCAGAGCAAGCCCAAGCCTTCTGAATCCCAAGCACTACATCATTCCGGGGCCCCGTATCAACGAAGCCTTGACCCCCGAAATCCCCAAACTCGTGCAGCAGAAACACCGGAAAGCCTAGGCCGCGCTCAAACCCTCAGCCACCGAGACCCCAAACCGGGACTACCCAAAGCGTAAACCGCGTAAACCCACCCAAAGCTCTACATCTTCGCTCCCTCAACTTTCTGCAGGATGTCGGGTACCCAGGGAATCCCCGGGAACTGTGGGAAGAGTTGGACCTGAACCAGAACGGCTTCGTGAGCCTCTGGGAGCCGCTTCTCCGGTTTACACACATACACATATGTACATACATTTAAGTCTGCATGCATGCATGCATGCATGCATGCATCGCATACTTGTGTGTGTGTGTGTGTGCGTGGGGGGGGGGGGTTCGGGCAGGTGGGTGGGCGCATGTACGTATGTAGGCAGGTAATAAACGGTATGTTCCAGTGGGGTAAGGTAGGTTAATGGTGGGGCAGTGGTAGGGTAGGGTAGGGTTGGCTCTGCGGGCCGGGGTGTATATCGGGTTTAGGTCGATATTACTATTATTACTACTATTACTATTACTACTATTACGATTATTACTACTATTATTACTATGCTTTGTTTGTCGGGCATTCAAAGGGCCCTTCAGGGTGTCGAAGTTGGGCCTCCAGGCTCTCTAGAGCCTTTGGGTTTGTTTCGGGTTTCATTCTTTGAGGAAGGGCAAGACCAAGTAGCAAAGGTGTAGGTCTCTAGGTGTGGGTTATGGGTTTCGGGTGTTTGCGCTGATGGGTGATAGGGCATGAGTTTGCAAGGTTTTCGGCCGTTCGCGGTTTAGGATTGTGGGGGGGGGCTCTATGGCATCTTATTAGATGTGTATCTCTTAGGGGATGTTCTAGGCCGATTGCATGATCACATCTATCGCGACTTCGGCTTCATTTCCGTCTTCACGGGCGTTGATTCCAGGTTCGACAGGCTCCTCCGAACTTCAGTTGTTTCAGATGCCTAGGGTTCCTGCCACGAGAGCAGCAGCTCTGAGATCCAGGCCGGCATATACAAGTTGTACAAGTTTGTGCAAAAAGGGATCGTGGGGTTTAGGGTTCACGTCTACATGCATGTAAGTCTTCTGTACATAGATACGTGTGTGCGCACGCACGTATGTCGTTCAGTAGGTGGGTAGGTCGGTGGGTGGGTGGCTGGGAAGGCATGGAAGGTATGGGCGGAGGGAGGGAGCGATGCATAACGCAGCTGACGGTGACACCATCGTTGTGAGCAGACAGCGGCCAACTTGTCATACATGCAGGCATTTTTACACGTATATGCATGTGTGGCAGATGCCGTAGGCCTGAATTTAGTCAGGGTATTTGGGGTTCACATGAAACATGTAAGCAGAGATCGTCCTGGTGCGAAGGAGCTGGATGAGCCGACAGCCGAGCTTTTGAAGGCCTGGCATACAAACTTCATGCACTTTAGGTGCCTGGCTTGTTTTTGAATTTCGTCACTTGAAGTTCGCAACTAGTAGCTGGAGTGATCGGACAAGTTGTGGTCGAGCCTTGCCTGCCTTGTGTGAGTGTCAGTGTGAGAGTCGACGCCTGCAATGCTAAACAAAAGAAATGAAGCCTAAACCCCAAGCCTCAAGCCTTGAACAGCTTGAGGATGTACCTGGTCGCAGGTCGCGGGTTCGTCCTAGCAGCCCGCGAGGGCAAAAGTGCATAAAGCACAGAAAGCCGTAACCCCTTGAGAGTTGTAAATGGGTGGCCTTGGGCTGGGTAAGTCTGAAGATTAACTTGCGACCACAAAGCGCGCTTTCGTTTGGCGCACAAACAAAGAACCCAAAACCTTAAAATCACCCTGCTTCGCCGGATGAGCCATGCAGGAGGCAAAAAAAACCTTAAAATTCTCACGTCTGGACTCCCTGCCAAGCGCCAAACCCCGAATCCCAAATCCTTTACCCTGGGACTCAGACATTTTTAATACAGTGTTTTCTGACACACTCCCAACTAGTGCAGTCTCACTCAACAGGCCTCGAACCACGTGCCTCGCCTGGATTGTCCACCAGTATTAGTACTCATTGCTACTACTGGCATTCGTATTTTTTCATTATCAACAGTATTAATATTACTATCAGTAGCAGTACTAATACTCGTAGTACTGGTAGTGTTAGTATTAGCCCTGGCTCGAGAAGGCCTTTGTTGACTTGGCCATGGCCTTCTCGGGCACTTGGAGGCCGGAATGATGCGAAGCCTTCGCCCAGGGGTCAAGGCTGTGGGTTGCTCTTCTTACTATTGTGATTATTATTATTCGTACTATGACTGATCTTAGTATTCTTGGTACACTAGTATTGCCGTCAAGATTATTATTGTGATTGTCATTAGTCATTATTGCTATCAGTAGCTCGTTTTTTTTTTTTTTTTTTTTTTTTTATGTTGTTTCTGTTTTTGTCATTGTTAGTATTCGTATGAGTATACGTACTATTTGTATAGAAGCAAGTATCGTATGAGTACGAGTATACAGTCTGAGTATGAGTATGGGCACCAGTACTAGTATGGGTTTCAGTATTAGTATTTGTCGTTACGTTAGTATTACTAGCAGTACTACTATCAGTATGAGCATGAGTATTACTGTTTAGTATTTGTCGTAGTCTTAGTGTTTCTATTAATGCTAGCATTGGAATTCGCACCCCTGCTCGTATCCGCGAATGATATGCGTATGAGTATGAGTCTGAGTCTGAGACGTAGTATTTGTAGCATGAGTATTCATATTCGTTTTAGTTTTCACCATTACTATTTTCATTGTTACAAAAGGTATTTTTATTGCTATTACTGTTATCATTATTATGATTGTGGGCTGTTGTTTGCGAGCACAATCCGCGAGCTGTGAGAGTCGAAATCCTGGAGGTCCTTCTGGATGGAGCTTCTGGACATTCGGGGCGACGACCGTGTGCGGCTTTCGGAATTCCGAGATGTTTGCGCCTTGATACTCGATGGCACCTTAGAAGGGATCTATGTACGTGCTTTGAGAGATTTCGAGAGTGTCAGCGCTGTAGCACATGCTTTTACCCCGATGCTGATGGACATCTATGTGTTGCGAAGGATTTCGAGACCGTCAGCCCCAAAGTGCAGGCAATTGCCCCGATCCTGTTCGATCGATCTTTGTCTTAAAAGATTCGAAAATTATATATATATATACACACATACACATAAATATAATATAATATAATATAATATAATATAATATAATATAATATAATATAATATAATATAATATAATATAATATAATATAATTATATATATATATATAATTATATATATATATATAATTATATATATATATATATATAATTATATTATATATATATATATATATATATATATATTATATATATATATATATATATTATATATAATATATGTATATACATATATACATATATACATATATACATATATACATATATACATATATACATATACATACATACATATATATATATATATGTGTGTGTGTGTGTACACATACGTAAATGTGCTGCGCCAGGTTGACAGATTGCCACAAAGCACAGGCGTTTGCCCCGATCCTGTTCGACATGTGTGCGTTGCTAGAGATTTTGAACCCCTCAGCCCCAAGGCATTAGCATTTTCCGCCGAGCCTATCCGACGTCTACGGTCGAGAGGTTTCCGCCCTTCAGCCCCAAAGCACAAGCGTTTGCTCCGGCCCTGCTCGACACCCATGTGGCCAGAGATTTCCAGAGCGTAATCCCGATCTTGTTTGACATCTAAGCAGATTTCGAGGCCGTTCGCCTCAAAGCAAAAGCTCTATGCTCGAGAATGTTCGAGACTGTCAGCCCCAAAGCAAAAGCACAAGTGTTTAATCCGATCTTGTTCGGGCCCAACCCCGACCTTGCTATACATCTATGTGCTGCGAGAGATTTCGAGACGGTCAGCCCCATGTGTTGCCCATGTGGAAGTTGCAGCAGATTCCGGCCGTACCTGTTTGCCCTCCGTGTTCTGGGACACATCCTGGGACGGTTCCCGACAAAGACGGCACGGCCCCCTGGTCCAAACTCAAACGAGACTTCCTTGTTTTGTGGCTCGCGGCTTCCGCCCGAAAATTCTTTCACAAACCCGAAGGCACAACAGCCTGGAGCTTTGGCCTGACGTTCTCATAGCCACGGCTCGTCCGAACGGTCCGCAGCCTGTGGCCAGGATCGCTTTTGATGGAGACGTGGATGTTTTGCTCCTCGTCACTGACGGGACCGTGTAGAGGCAGTCATGCATCGGACTTTGGAGCCGAGCATTCTCGTTGCAGCCTGGGGTGGTTTGCAATCTCGCCATATGAGGGGCCCGCTAGGTCAATGCAGGCGGGACTAGGGGCTCGAGTACAAAGGGATTTAATGTCGGGGAAGCGTCTTGCAGAACAGCATATTGGACGTAATGGTGAATTCGGTTACTGTATTCATGCAAAGGGGGCAGAAGCAGGAGTAGAGTCACGATCTGAACTCAAGCTTCTCTCAAAGGTTCGAGCTGTTAGACACAGACAAGACCAAGTACTTGAGCTGGGCCACGACATCGTGGCTTGCCACCGCAGAGCTTGACGAGGATGACGAGGAGGAAGAGGCCGGAAGCCCTCCATCCCTAACAGGAATCTCCTGGAGCAGTGGGAGCCAAGACTTACTGAACAAAACCTTGCATGAAGTCGAACGCTTGCCTTGGCTATTGTTTGAGTCGTAAGGCACGGCTCAAACGGGGTGAAGCTACTGCCATCTACTGCCGCCGGGAAGTCGGAATCCATGCAAGAAGCAGCGATACCACAACAGCAAGCAACGTTACAACCACTAAGCTTTGAGCTCCAGCGCCTGCGAGCCATGGCTTCGATCTCTGTGCCTTTCGAGGTGGGTGGGCTTGCGGAGCTCCTCGTGAACGATTACGCCAAATTCGGCTCCCCACGAAGTGCAAGGGTGAGAATATTGAAGATCATCGACGGCGGCCCCATTGCAGGCGGGTGGTCCATTAAAGTCGCCCTCGCCACAGCCGGCGTGGAGGCCTACCTGGATGGGCAGGACCTGCGGGCCCTGCCAGCGGGCCCTGTTGCGGTGCCAGATCCTCCGCTAGAACAGCCACGTATGTCAATGCCACCGGAAATGCGGCACCCCGGGCCAGCTGCGCAGGAGCCGCTTCTGTACTTCCTCAAGCCTTCTCGACTGATTTGCCTCCGACTGGAGAGGTCAGCGGAGCTGGGCCAGTGGGCTTGCAACATCGTGGAGGCGATGCTGCACATAATTGGCCAGCACAAAGACGACGACATCAAAAGGGAGGACAAATACGTCGACGAAAGCCAAATCCTGCAGCAGCTCCACTCAGAAGGAATCTGGCGCTCAGAGACCTACACCGCGCTGGCCTCGATTCGGATGCCGGGCTCCGGCGGCAGGATGCTGAGTGCTGTAGGGTTAGCATCAAACAAGCAGACCCGCACTAGGGCAGTCCACCTCTCCGTGGCGACAGTGCTGGCCCTGGAGCTTCTGACGGGCTCCTCTTTGCCTTTGGTGTCATCTACGCGCCAGGTGATGCAACAGTTTCCGGTGCTGCAGAGCCTTGTGAAGGAGGCCCAGCAGCTCAAAGAGAGGGCAGACCGCCCGGATCCGGAGGTCGTGCTGCCTCCGCCTCCGTGGTGCGACTGAAGCTCTGAGACTGCATCCTGTCGCCTTGAAAGTGTCCAGGATCTGGCCCGGCCTGTAGTACACGAAAGAAGCCAAGCTCCTGTCTCAGTGGATGCACTGTAGGGCCACGGTCAACCAGCTTGTGGGTTTCTAGCCTAGTTTCCCTGAAATGTAGACGCAAATCATCTTCGAGCAGCTCATATCCTGGAAAGGGATGCGCGGAATAAGGTTCGGCCATTCCCTGCAATTGACAATCCTGGTCTGAAGAAAAAATAACTAAAGGCCCAGCTGGGGCTCTTGACACTGCATGTACTCCACATGAGTATCCGCGATGACGGGGCCCTCTGCCTGGTGGACCACTGAGCTGAGGCTTAGGCTTTGATGGTGCCAAGCAACGCTTATTGATGCAGAGCTAGGGGAGCTCCCTTCTCGATGCTGACTCCATTCTTTTTCGGTGACGTTTTGTATCGTTTACTGTCTGACTCCGGCTGCAGCAGCGAGAAGGAGTGATGCTAATGTTCCGCCAAATGCGAGTGCCAAAATCTTCGTCTTGAGCAATGTGCCGGAGTGGTATTGTAGGTGTCAGGTTGCGGCTTGGTAGAGTGTACTGGGCTGTGGCGTTTGCGACCTGTCTTGCTACCGTGGGATGGCTGTGATTCATGCTTAGTGGCTTAGTGTTTGGATTTATGGTCGACATGGTCTTGGAATTTGGGTTGGCCTGTTGCGTGGAGCGTCTCGTGGACTGGATCGTTGTAGTCTCCCAGCGTTACTCCAGACTTGTAGATCCTTCAGACATCTTCACCCCCCCACAACAGACAGATTTTGTCGAAGACTTGAGCTCTTCTGGGACAGCACAGCAGCCTTCAAAGGAACCCTTTGGCGACATTTTTGGATTTCGGGACGATTTTCCTGTGAGCTTCATGGTTTAGTGGCGTTTAGTGTTCCGGATTAAGGATTCACGGCATGTGAAAGAAGCTAGTCAGGGAGGAGTTTTCAGCAGGGAGGTGGGGAAGACTTGGCCCAGCTTCGCAAAGCTGAGTGCCGTGTACAGGACCAGATGCCGGACTTCATGAAAGCCACAAAGGACCGGGCTGCGGAAGTCTTGCAGTGAACTCCTGAGGATGAAGCCCAAAAGAAGAGCCTTTCACCGAAGCCCTGGGCCCTAGGCCATCAAGCCGTAGCCCCAAATGCTTACACCACCGCCGAAACGAAGTACCCCGATGATTGCCTGTAGCCAAGAATGGACTCGAAGCTGTACAGCACACACAAGGCCCACACCCACCCCGCAAGCATGCACAAGTGCCCTGTCGACAGTCCCAGCGACGCCTTGCGCACAACAAGGCAGGGGGCAGCTGTGCGTGAGCATTCGGTGGGCAAGGCTTCCCTGCACAGGTCTGTGCATCAGGAGCTCTTTCAATTGCTTCTGTGCCGATGCGTTGCATGATTGTCATCCGTCGAAGGTTCGTAGTGTTTCATGAAACGCTTCGGAGGATTGCAGAGCCAAAGCTCAGACCCAGATTGTGCCTTGCAAGACCTGAAGCCGAGGTCACTTTTGGGGTCTCCGTTTGCAAATAACCGAACAACGCTTTGACTTGAGGACTCTGAGCCCAAACCCTCATACGGAGAAAGTGCGTGAGGCCCGAGACCGTCGGGTTCGCGTCAAGCGCTTTGAGGGCCGGGCACGTGGTGTGCCTTGGGCATGAGAAAATGTCGGCAGGTTCAGGGCTCAAGCGTTTCAGGGTGAAATGGATTGAAGGCCGGCGACAGTGTCGGGAATGCTTCAGGCAGACGGGGCTTCAGAGTATCAGGTGATGGCGTAGAGTTTAACGGTTAGGGGATGTGGAGCTGCAGCGGGGACCAGGGTCTGCTTGGTATTTGAGGATGACGGTTTTTGGAGACTGCCGGGTATGGGGCCTCGGCGCGCGCGTCGAGATCAAGCCCTGAAGTCTACAGGTAGCCTGGTGGAAAAGAGAAAAAAAACAGGTAGCCTCGACTATTTACTATTTCTCCCCGCGATAGAAACGGACGAATCTGTTCGCCACTTTTGTCCGGAACCCCGTGGTCTCAAGCTCACCAGAGAGTTTTGTAGAATCCTCGCCTTTAGGAGATCCCTGGCAGTCATGTCGCCGCCGGGACCGCGATCCATGGAAGTGCCCTGAAGTCTGCTTCCGAGCCTTCGGGCACGGGGAGCCTTTGCTGAAGATGCATTGAAGGTCTGAGGGCTTAGGGCCTAAACCGCCAAAGTTATTGCAACCTAGAGACATGGTATACTGCGGGAGGTCTTGTTCTGGTCTTAACAACTTCAACATGTTTCGATGGGGTCCCTGGTTCGCCCAGTACTTGTAATGTGTTTTGGGGTCTCATAGACCTTGTTGTCGGAGCTGTTAGGGTTTGTCGGAGCATCATGATCTCCCTTCCCGTATCTGAATGAACTCATGCAGTAAATTGTTTGTAACTTTCATCCTCGCTGGGTTTCACCGGTCCTCAGCCCTCGATCAATTTGTGTGTGGGGAGTCTTGCTGAAGGCTGAGCACTGCAGATGATGATGTCAACCAATGAAATGATTGTCAAACTCAGTGTTGAGCCAGCGACCCGTGTCATGACTCATAATTCACGCCGCTGTGAGAGTTGAAACCGTGATCCTACACTAGAGAGTAGAGGAGTAAGCACGTACAAACCCAGTCGGCTAGGCGTGCGCAATTATGTAGGAACCATCCGTTTGTTTTCCGAGGCCGATGGAAAGAAGCGTATCTGCTCCGGGGATGACACAGGCGATGGGTTGTCGGGTCACAACACATGCAGGAATCAGATTTACCTGGCTGCCTGCGTTGTAAGAGCATTTACAGGGCTTTGTGAGGCGTTTTGTAATGGCGTCTTAGTGTTTCAGTTTATCAGGCTTCCAGAGGGTTGCAGGCGCGGCTTTTCAATATGAAAGGATCCTTATTGTTCGTGCAACTTAACGTATAGTCCATAGCTTGTAAACCTTCCCTTCAACTTAGAATGCAGACCTTAACTGGCCCCCTTAACGCCTAGCCCAAGACCTTCAAACCCTGCTAGACTCCCCAGACCCTGTACAGCCTACAGCCTGATGCGATCTTAGCAAGCCCTCGGACAAGCCCTGTTGGACTTGCAGAACCCTTCTGAAGCCTTCATTCAACCCCGAAGCAGAGGCCTCCCAGAGTCTGAGCTCCCACTCCTACTCCGCTGCCTGGGCGACTGCGGGCAGCTGGGCGAAAGTGGGAGTCGAAGCGTCTTGGGAGTCGGGCTGTGTGAGGATGAGAGAGTCAGAGAGAGTTTTTGGTTGGGGTCCTGTGACTTGTGCGTTTAAGTTTAGGAGTTAGGATCTTTTGGGGCCCAAGGTGGGGCGTTCGGTTTGAGAAGGGGCCTGACTACGTGATTTCTGACGTGCCGTATTATTCCTTTGCTCTTGGTCTTCAATGAGGCAGCATGTGATTGGGCTATACAAAGCTTGCCCGGTGCCCCGTTCTGGAGCTCCATCTACTATTTTACTCCAGCCTTTGGTCACTTTCATCCTAACCGTATGTGATACGAAGTATGCGATGGGTGCAGTACGTGCAGCAGTGACGGTTGAGATTCAGATCGTCAAAGTTGGCAAGAACTGCTCTGCGCGCCCAACATGGGCCTCTCTCTCAGCTCGGAGAAGAAAGCGATGGTCGCCTTTGGACTCAGAACCCTTACAGCAACCATCACGGTCTCTACCGAAAACATATAGATCGTCTAGCGGTCTAGCGATTCAGCCTTTTTCTTTGCAGGCGCCCTCAACCCGAGGCGCCTCAACGAGCCGGGTCACCGGCAGACTGGCGACCTCGCCGCCCACGGCCGAGGACCTGCCCCAGCTGCTCGGTGCACGCATCGACTTTTTTCTTGTGCCTCTCCTGTTGGCCTCTGGTTCTTCTTCATGTCTGCAAACTAGAAGGTTCTATGCGTTTTCGGACGAGGGGTGGTGCAGTGGTGCTGTTCAAGAGGGACCAGAACAGGGATGGCAGACTTCCACACGTCGACAGTGCATTTTTCTAGGCTGTTTGAAGTGCTGTTGGACAGTGCTGCTTTAAACATACGTAGGCTCAAACGGTTTCCGATTCTAAGTGCTTTGTATTTTGCTGCATGCTAGGTCGCGCATCGATACAATAGAGGTTCTGTTTAGCCCCACGAGCATGCTGAGTATCGCGGGCATCAGCTGCTACATCCTCACCCATAGCTTTTCAACACAAAGCGCGAAGCTTGTGTTTTGTGCTGCCATTGGTGTGTTTGCATGCGAAAGGTCCTGAAGCCAGCAACAAACCCTCTTGCAAGAAGCGTCTTGCTGTCCCCCGTGCGATAGAGAGGTGGCTGCTGATTGCCGAGGGCCGGGCGAGGATGCTGGCAGGGTTCGGGGGGACAGGCCCTAAATCGAAAACCTTGAAGCCGTAACTAAGCCCCCCAACCTTAAGGTGTTTCCACTTGATAGCATTGATGCCAAACCTGAGTCTGTTGACTGTAGGACGAGGCTGATGGTGTCGGGGCTCTTGTCCGTTTTAGCTTGTCTTCAGGGCCCAGGGTCTGTCAGAGTTTCCCTCACGGCTGTGGGTTCAGCGGGACCCCCAGTCCGAAACACCGTACATCGGCTTGAGTTCCAGAGCAAAGCAAGCCAAACTCTCAACCCAAAGCCGAAGTTCGCCATGAACTCCGATTTCAAGCGCCCGCTACACTGTGCCGAGGGTGGGGAGTATATGCAATTGCAACATCCCTATTCAGGTAGTCTCCTGAAAATCTACATTGAAGACTCGAAACTCACAGCACAGGGTAGCAAGTCCCTGTTCCCATGTTCGAAGCCGCAAATCTCTGCAAATGAGATTCGAAGGTGCACCTTGCATTGCACCTCACGCCCAAAAGAACTCCAAGCCTCAGAACCAGAGTTCTCCTAGACCTCTAAGCCTCAGCCCCAAATCCCAAATTGATGCCAGCCATGCGAGAGGGAAAAAAATCCCAAATCCCAGACCGCGGTCAGGATCCCAGCTCCACCGCCCAAGAGCGACCTGAGTTTCCCTTTCAAACCCCAAGAGCCAGGGAAAGGAGGCCCAGAATAGGGGAGGGGTTTGGTGTTTGGGCTTCGGGTTTAGTATTACCTGTAGGTGTGGGGATTAGGGGATCTGTTTTGAGTCTCGAAGGTCATCTCTTCTCTTCTTCCCAAATGGTCATGCTTCCTAAGAAGTCGTTTCTCTAAGTGCTGCCAAGACTGCTTGTATAGCGTTGAAGATGGATACTCAGTATGAGTGCTTGTACACGCACTGTTAATTCTTCACGGCGCCGAAATTTCCAGTACGGTTAGGGCTCGAGTAGTTGATGGTAACTTTGAGTTGCAGCTGCCCTTGAGCTTAGGCGCAAACGGTGTCCTCGAGCTTTGCCTCAGGGCTCAGGGTTCGGCTTCAGCGGTCAGAGTTGAGGTTTTGAAGAGCCACAGCAGAGCAGTTAGCAGGAAGTAGTCTGAAGGGACGAGCCATTCAGATGCAACTGAAGTCAGCAGCTGTTCTTTCGACTATCAAGCTTTGCGGTTTAGGTTACACCGATGCGAGCTGCAATCGTGGTTATTCCGCGAGCTTTGATGGTATCAAGGGTCCGTAGCCTTATTGATTCATAGTGACCATCACACACTGCGATCGAGCCGCCCTTCCCTGCAAGACGGCGTCGTGAATGGATTCTTAGGGGTTGATGTGCTTAATGCAGGCGGTGGAACGGTTCAAAGCTGTCAGTAAGCCCTATACACACCTCTGAAGCTCAACTCAAGCTATGGCATTGCTGTTGCAAGTTTGAGCTGGTGGCAAACAAAGGCTGGCCTACGTCGAAGCTGAAGCTCACGGACGAGCTCTGGGGCGGCAGCAAGGATGCCTTCGTTGTTGCAATCACTTGCTTCCAACTCGCAGAAGTATATCCCTTAGCCGTCCTGGTGGCTCCTTCCGGGAGGATTTCGTTCATAGACTGCGGGAGGGCCAGCATCAACTCGAAGTCCGAAGCGTTCAGTCATCCTCAACAAGAAACCCCGACACCGGACACCCCCAGCTAGAGACCCTAGATGATCCAAGCCTCAAAAGTCCTCCGTGGCTGCACGTGACACTTCCGCACCCCTCATTCGTGTTGGAGCTCAACTTGCACCTGCGCGGAACGTCAAAGCATGCTGTGGACAAACTGCCCCCCGCGGCTGAAGCCCGAACCAAACACCTTGCGGCACGTTCTTGCGCACGGAGCTCTCTAAAGGAACCCTTATAGTACCCTTTATAGTAACCCTTTAAAGGAACCCTTATAGTAGCCTTTATCATTAGTAACTCTTTAAAGGAACCCTAAGGTACTGGTAAACTATTGCCAGTAAAAGCAAAAGCAAAGCCAGGACCTGGGCCGCCTTCTGCGACCTCTCACCCGGAGCGCTTGCTCGGAAAGGGACCTCGCCAGGTCGAGGGCCCTTATAAGGGATCTATAAGGGTACTATAATATATGATATGGGCCTTAATAATCCTATAACTTACCTTTGGTGAGTAGGGAATGGAAGAATGGTAGCAATAGTAGTT